TCTCTCTCTCTCTCTCTCTCTCTCTCTCTCTCTCTCTCTCTCTCTCTCTCTTTTACGGTACTGGGGATTGAACTCAGGACCTTATGCTCGCCAGGCAAGCGCTTATTCTACTGAGCTCTCTCCCTGGCCCCAAAACCCTGTCTCAAAGAAAAAGCGACATGCATAGAGCTGAGGTTAGAGTTCACCTGGTCCCGAGCCCAGAAAGTCCCTCATGAGTGGATCTTTTTGGCCGTGAGGCTCCTAGCTCCTGGCTCAAGCAGAGCCCTGGATATTCCTTTCCCTGACATTCCTCTCCTGCTGTCCCCAGGTTGTGTTGGACAACACAGCACTGAATCTGATTGCCACAGACCGCCTGCACATCCAGAACCCATCCTTCTCCCAGATCAACCAGCTGGTGAGCTGGTCCTGGGGCGCCCGCTGTGCCGGCGACACCAGGGAGGTGGGTGCCCCACTCCCGCCCCTCCAGGCCAGGCCGTGACCCTGCCCCATCCCAGGTGTCCACCATCATGTCGGCCAGCACCACCACCCTGCGCTACCCCGGCTACATGAACAACGACCTCATCGGCCTCATCGCCTCCCTCATCCCCACTCCACGGCTGCACTTCCTCATGACCGGCTACACCCCCCTCACCACAGACCAGTCGGTGAGCGCGCGCGCATGGCTGGGTGGTTCCTCCTCTGTCCCAGGCGCTGCTCCTGCACAGGGCAGATGGGGCTCGTCGGACTGCAGGCGGGCAGGGGCTCGGATCCTGGTCCCACAGCAGCAGAGACCCGGGCAGGTGGCACCCAGGGAGCTGCCCAGAGGGCCACCCCCAGCCTGGTCTCTGGGCCACGCCTCCACCATCCCACTTGTCCTCTGGCCGTGGCCTGAGTGCCACCCGGGGCTCTGCAACCCCTCCCCGCCCTCAGGTGGCCAGTGTGAGGAAGACCACGGTGCTGGACGTCATGCGACGGCTGCTGCAGCCCAAGAATGTGATGGTGTCCACGGGCCGGGACCGCCAGACCAACCACTGCTACATCGCCATCCTCAACATCATCCAGGGGGAGGTGGACCCCACACAGGTAGGCACTGGCCTGGGCCCCTTCCCGGCTGCAGGCTGAGTCTAGGCAGCCACTAGCGTCCCTGTGCCCGGCCAGGTGCACAAGAGCCTGCAGAGGATCCGAGAGCGGAAGTTGGCCAACTTCATCCCCTGGGGCCCGGCTAGCATCCAGGTGGCGCTGTCGAGGAAGTCCCCATACCTGCCATCTGCCCACCGGGTCAGCGGGCTCATGATGGCCAACCACACCAGCATCTCCTCGGTGAGCCCG